TCAGTGTATGTCTTTTCATGTACCTGCTTCCATATCGTAAGGAAAAGTCTGAAAATCCTTTCTTAATCTCCAAAGTATATCAAAAGAAAATCAAGAAACCATCTCTTTTGTCCTCTATTGCTTCTGCTATATGTGTATGTAGGTATCTTGCTTTTGAAAGCTTAAGTTGCTGTGTTTCCCAAGTACATGATGGTTATAGTACAGTAACAAAATGATTGCACATGTGTGAGACATTTTTGAATAATAGGAGGAGTTATTTAGATCAGGCTTTTAACACTCTTATGTAGCTTTTTGCTACAAGGAAGTCTTTAATGATTCTGGTGTACAAGTGATAAAATAAGATTGGCTTGTTGGTTTGGGTTTTTCTCAATTAATATTTTTTACTTTAAAAAACAGTTTATTTCCCAAGTTACATCTTCATTTTTCCCTTTCTTCTCTTCTGCCCTCCCCCATATCCTTCTTCTTATAGGTATTTTGACTTAGACATCCTAAAAGGTAGCTTGTGTTTCTGCTTTTAGGCATCATAGAGTGGATCTTGGATGAGAAAACATAAACGCCTAGTGTCATTTCAGAATTGCTACAACATAACATGTGTTCTTTAATCACCCCCTTAAAACAGTAAAAACTTCCTCTCTTCTCCTCATACTTGTGGGCTGTACATACACATGTAACTCCTTTATGAGTATTGGGTCCCTGTATGAGCAGGTCCCTGGTGTTGTTATCTCTAAGTACACACGTTGCTGAGCTGCATGTTAAAATTACTTTAAAGAGAAGTGTAATTTAGTGAAACAATCTAGAGACCAGTGGTGTTCAAAAATAAAGGTGCATTAGAAAAGCCAATTTATTCTGGTCAGCCACAGTGGGTGACTTTTGGCATGTTTTTGTCATTGGCTATGCTGTTAAATGTCTATATAGTGTACCTGGTGAAACCTAGGTGTTAGGATATCCCACATATATTTGTTCAGTAGCAATGTGTTCTTTAGCAATGGGATGGAAAAGTAGTGGAAACTATTGAAAATATTCCTTCAATGGAACAGACAAGTAAAGCTCTTATGGGGTATTGTAATATTTCATTTATTAGTTGCTAGATACTGCTGCTGCAAAAAAAACACTTTGTCTTTCCCGACTTTTCCTTTTCCCTATACAGGATTAAAGGCTTAAGGTGGCTGGTTTGTTTCACTGAAGTTTTCTCTCTGCTCCCAGCTTGCTCAACCTACACCTTCAGTTCAAGTCTTCAAGCTGAATCTTCCAATAGGTAGCTGAGAGCATCTTTTGATTTTGGCATTCTGAGACCATGGAAATGTTTAAAAACAATATTTGGTGCTATGAGTGATACATTACCTCATGGCCACTGGTGTCCTGTGGCATCTGGAGAAGCCTTTGTGCATAGCTCTGGTATCTCAGCAACAAAACAGCTCATGCAGTCAGCACCCCTGGATTGACAAAAAGCAACTCCTTTGCCCCTTAAGGTTTTTAAAGTTTTTAAAAATGCAGCTTTAACAACATTTTTTAAATGTGAGCTGGGGGAGACTGCAGCAAACTGTGCCAGTACATAGTTATCCTCTTAGGTTTCATCTTGGTAGGTTATCTAGGATCTCTGAGTCTGCAGTCCATCACCTCACTCCTTCCCTTTCAACCCACGGTTGTAGCTTGGGTTTTTTGGTTTACCAGAATAGCAGAAGTGGGTCTAGCCCTTCATACGGAGGTCTCAATCCCTCCCGGTCCCCTACACTCAATTCTTAGCATTGTGCTGATCAGAAGCTGCTGCTGACTTAAGGTGTTAAATGCAGCAGGTGATTTCTTCTGTGGTTTTGGAGATGGACTTTTCTAAACAAGCAATATGGTGAAAAACAGCTGTCAAGTGTCAATGTACTCTTGGGAGCCCAATATACCTCATCTCAAGTTCATTTGGAGGGAAAATAAAAAAATAACACCACCACCACCTAAGCCCTCCTAGCTGTATGCTTTTATTGTCTTCCTGTCAGCTCTGGTGGACTGAAACAATTGATCCCAGTCCTGAACTCAACTGTTTTGCCTTCAGTTGGGATAACTTTGTCACTGGGTACCTTCCAAAGATGATCAGGATAAAGACATGACTATCTGCACATGTCTGCCTATTGGCAGAAACACTTGACAAAATTAGCCTTGAAATTTGAGTGGTCTGATTAAAAGTCTGTGGTGATTAAATATCTCGTGCATACTTTTTCATTTAGTCAGTTAATGGTGATGGCCCAAAGCCACATCCTGCACCATGATGAAATAAAGCCACGCTGTCAGCTAGTCATTTCAAAAATGGAGCACTGCAACGAGTAGTTGCAAAGAAGGTTCTAATGCCAACAGGTGTTATTAAAAACACCACAGGTGGTTTTGGAGATGCAGAAATGAAAAGTTGACCTGGGGGGCCCTCCAGTTGAGCTTCAGTGCTGGTCTTTTTGATATCTAGCTGTGCAGCACCTCAGAGGGTTTCGTGCAGGAGAGAAGACTTTTTTCCTCACAGAAGCCTGGCTGGTTTAAGGCCTTGTTGCGTAGTTGAGTTGTGTGGGCAGAAAACATGTGCAAGCAGCTCTGCACACAAAAACTTCACGTGCTTTCCCCAAAGGGCTCTGTATCCAGGGAAAACCAGGTGGGTAGGATGGTGAATTGCAGGAAGGCCAGCCTTGTGAAGGCTGACCTAGAACAGAGACTAGATGGAGCTAAAGAATAAAGTATGTATTTATTAGAAGGCCTCAATGGATACACCTTGGGCAGCACAAGAGCCCAGCCAGAACTACACCCAAGATGAACTCAAAATGGTCACAAAATGGACGACCAGTCAGGGGGTCTCACACTTTTATAAGCTCTGGTCCTTAGCATATTGGAGCTAATTGTCCAATTATAGCTTTAGGTTATGAAGTCCCATCCTTGTTTTTCTCTCTTCAGTCCACTGTTGTTTATGCTCTTGGGCCTGAAATTTGGATCATGTGTCCTTGGTCTTCATCTGGAGAAGGAATTGTTTTGTCTACCTACTCTGTGAAGAGAGCCTACTATCCCCTAATATGAAGCTCAGAAGTACATTCTAAAGCAGTATAGAATTGGAAAAATATAAAAGCTAAAACCTGAGGCATCACAGGTGGCTAATGGAAAGCCTAGGTGAAGGACACCTTTGGCACCTTTCTGCAGCTGACACCTTCCAAGTGTCAGAGGCATAAAAATGGCATGACAATGGAAGGTCAGTGGGGTTTGCCAAAGTAGAACTTTGCACTTCAGCAAAAACGTGTGGGTAAGAGGCAAGCACTGGAGCAGAAAAAGGTCTTCACCAGCCAAGGTGCGAGGGCAGCTAAAGTGTGCCCCAGGTGGTGTGGGCTTTACATGTGTGGTTTTAGCTGCTGAGCATGCTCTCTGGGGAAGGACAGCCACATACGAATGCTAATTTAGGCATTGGTACGATCTTCCTATTTCTGGCATTTCAGTGGCTTCTGTTGGCAGACAGAAGGGGCAAGAGATGAGCCCAAACCAGATGGTGCAAGGAGTGCACCACTGGATGCTGCTGGGATGTCCTTAAAGGGAAAGGAACACATCCATCCTGCAGCAGAGATGGGAGGCTGAGTAGATGGTGCAGGGGCAGAGAGGAGTAGAATAGATGACCAGAACTGATGTAATGAAATCTCCAGGCAGAATTAAAACCCTTAAAGGAAGGAGTCAGAGTAAGTAGAGGAAGAAGACTTTGTTTTTATGTGGATTTGTACTTAAATGTATTTTTTCTCACTAATAGATTTTTCACAAGAAATATACACCACTGTTACTCTAGCTTTGGAGATGCAGGCCTTGTGTATTGCATAGCTACATGTTTAATTCCTTGTTTTTAAAGAGGCACAGCCATCTGATCTTAATAGAGGCAGAGACACAACAGATACTGGGGATTCTTAATGCTCATTCGAGAGTGGGGAAAAGCTAGAGCCAAGTGCACAGTGAAGTAACTGTTTTAGGATTCATACCTGAATATTATTCTATTTACAAACTGTATCCTGAGACAAATACATGAGAACTTACAGCATAAGGGCATGAAAGGAGCAGGAATAGGGGATAAATGTCAGGGAGTTACAGACTAGAGGTAACAGTGAAGGCTGGATGAGAAAAGTGAGGAACTAGATCCATTATTGAGCAGTTTCCCTCTGCTATGATTAAAAAAACTGGGCAGATTTGAGGTGATGAGAATGTACTGCTAGTATTGTTTTCATCTTGATTAACTTAGATGCACTTTTTGCACTTCTAGCTGTCTTAAGTCAGGGTAAAACATGCTGTGAGCAGGGAGTGAAGCAGTACCCTTAATGTGCTTGGGTATGCCTTTTTGTGTTTTTTTTTTTTTTAATTTGAGCTAACTAGATACAATCTTGGAGCAGAACAGCTAACAAGAGTGGAAGCAGTGTTTGCAATTCATTGATTTTTCTGCTACATCCTCTATATTTAGGAATGCTCTTTACTCTGAGTTACACTTGTTGGAGGTTAGGATTTTTCTTTTTTTTTTCCTTCTCCTTTTTTTCTCAGGGAATTTTTTCCCATCTGTTGCCTAAGAAATGATAAGGATGGTATTAAGAGAGACAAAACATGTAGCCAAGAGGGAGGGGGAGCAGCTGGCTGCAGTCTCATAGGTGAGGGGTTTTTTTTCCTTGGAAAGGGCAGAGGTACAGCGAGGGGGTGAGGGGCTGCGCTCAACTCCTCGCTCTCTCTCTCTCACTTTCGGCTCGGAGGGGAACGGAGCGTTGCTGCCCAGAGGATTCTTTCTGGTGTCTGGATTTGTCCCATCCCCAGCCTTCCTTTGTGGGCTCTTATGTGCTGCTGATATGATACACTTCATGTTGAAAGGTCAAACACACCTTGGGGTTTTTTGGGGGTTGGTTAGGGGTTTTTTCCGTGTTTTTTGTTTGTTTGTTTGGTTTTTTTTTGTTTTTTTTTTTTTGTTGTTTTTTTTTTTGTTTGGTTGGTTTTTTTAATATAAAAATCATCTCTTCCAAAACAAAAAGTGCAAACTGAAATTATAATCAGCATATTTTTGACAGTGCAGTAGAACATTACAAGTATAAATATAAATTACAGCTGAATATTTAGTTGTTTTTAGAATTTTACATAAAATTAATACAGTAAAATGCAAATTAAAAAAAGACATCCATAACGTTTTTTTGGAGAAGTTTTCATCATAAATTCATAATCAGTTCAAAATCAGTTTCACAACTGCTGAACATTGTGTCTGCTATTGGCAAAAGCTATCTCAGTTGCAAGAATCAGCACTGGCTTATCATCTCTCAAGTTCTGCTTCCAAGATTTCTCCCCACGTGTCGACATCCATTGGATACATGCTTTTCTCTGGCAAACTGAATTGTGAAGGAATGTTGCTGTATTTCCCACTAAGCCATTCTTGCTTCACTTTGCTTTTCCAGTAGTTTCTCAACAATGTAATCTGGTGGAAAAACATATAGTCAGATCTCGGAAAGGAACCAATTTAAATTGCATTCAATATAACAAGTTTACACTAGAAGAGTAGTGCTAGAAAAGGGATTTGGAATGTGCCTTTGGATATCTAGACATTAAATCCAGGAAAGGGCAATGCTGCCAAGAAGCAGACCTTTTCTGTTCCTGCCTCAATTCTTTGGTGGTCAAGATGAAAAACCCAAACCAGGAATTTGTCTTATGGCTTAAAAAAGGCACCTTCCATTTTCTATTTAGGCTGTGACCTTTCTTTTGTTCGGAGGCTGTCTGGGTTCTTCTCTTCTACTAGCCTTTAAGGGCAAGAAAATGTAGACTTGGTGTGTTTGTAGCTTCTATTTCAAATCCCTTCCAGATAAAACAGACAATCAGTCCAGGGAGCTTTGGAAATTGCTGTGCAAGAGTAGCAAGATCTACACACTGAAAGGGTAACCACTATCTGCTCACGGCTGTGCCTCACACTGCAGAAACTTTACTGAAATGTCAGAGTCCAGCGGCTGCTTTTGTTTCTTTTGCTGCTGCTTCTCTCTTTTCACCCCTCCAGTGCTCTTAAATACACCAGCTAAAATAAGGTGGGAGACTACCCTATAGCTGGCCCAGAGTAATCTGTGGAACCACCTATCTGGTCTACCTGATCGGGTCCTGATCTATCTCAACTTCCAGGCTGAGTTCAACAGTGAGAGATCATTCTGCAGGTTCTGGAGCTAAACCTGCTAAAACTCCTCAGAGCAGTCTGTGTGTGGGGAGAGTTTCTAAACAGTTTATAAAAGCTCCTGCTCATTTCCTTTTTTATTCCCCATTTTTTTTTTCCCTCCTGAATGTGTGTCACTTGAGGTGTATTGAGACAACACTATCCAGCATGATTTTTCAGGAAGACATTCCTAACCAGCAGATCTATTCCCACAAAATACAACCAGAGCGCACACACCACCTATCGGAGTTCTGTTACCTAGTCCCTATCGGCGGGAACGTGGGTTTTGTCTCGTGTTAGGGCTTGTGTATGACGAAGGTCAGCGCTGAGGCTGTGCGGGGCAGCAGGAGGACTAATGCCGAGCCGGACAGGTTGTGTCTTGGGTAGGAAAAGGGACAGCTTTGCTTTATCTCCCAGTGTATTTTACCAGATGTCCGTCTGCCACGCTGTCACCGCAGTCGTCCCCCCTCACAACCATGGGATGGGTGTGACAGGATGTCATTTCCTTACATTTTTCTATTGGCCCCCAGCATTCTCGTTTATGTCACTGCCGCTGTTCAGCCGCTGGAGGTGGATTTACCTTCCAGGAATAGCCATTCCCTCGGTCGCAGTCGATTTCCCGCTGGCAGACGGCGCGCACGGCCAGGCAGTGGTGCCGCCACAGCCGCTCGTTGCTGTCGATGACGCGGTGCCAGCCCTTGCACGTCACGGACGCGTGGCACAAGCTCTCGACATCCAGCCCACTGAAAATCCGGGAGATGATCTCGGGAGGAAGGGCAGACACGAAGTCACCCAGTCCTCCTCTTCCTCCCTCGGCGCTGTCCCGGCCGGCAGCGCGCTCCGCGTCCATCCCTGCGGCCTCGGGGTTGGGAGGCGTCACTGCGGCCTCTCTGTGTGCGGGCGGCCGCCGCCGGCAGCGCTCTGGGCTGGGTGCCTGCCTGCCGCCATGTCCCTGTCGCTCGCCCGCTGCGGGTGTGCGCGTGGGGCGCTGGTTTCGGGGCCAAGCTCCGCAGTTTCGGGACCACGGAGGAGGCGCCGCCGCGCGGCCCAGGGAAGTTGCGCGTCACGGGGCGGCCGCGCGTCATCAGGCGGCGGCGGTTCCTGCCGGGCTCGGCACCACCTCCGTCCCTGTCCCGGCGGCTCCGGCAACCTCGAGGTGAGGCCGGCCCAGCCTCGCACAACCGCGGGCCCGAGGGAGCGGCCCCCGCTCCCAGGGCCGGGTTGGTTCGTTGGTTCGTGTCCGCAGCCTTGCGGTTCAAGGAGGAGCGTTGTAGCCCCGCGGCGGCTCTGCCGTGGGTGGAAGGGGCGGGGAAAGCTCGGCTCCAGCGGGAGAGTGGAGCATCTCTCGTAGGAGGAAAGGCTGGGGGAGCTGGGTCTGATCAGCTTCGAGAAGAGACGGCTGAGAGGAGACCTCACTCATGAGTATAAGTATCTAAAAGAAGAGTGCCGAAAGGATGGACCAGCCTGTGCCCACTGGTGCAGAATTATAGGACAGGAGGCAATGGGCAGAAACTGATGCATAGAAGTTCCCCCTGACTATAAAGAAGAACTTCTTTACTGTGCCGTGGCTGCACATGGAGTAGGTTGCCGAGAGTGGTTGAGGAGTGTCCCTCAGTGGGGATATTCCAGAACCATTTGGATGCCATCCTGTGCCATGTGTTCTAGTATGACCCTTCTTGAGCAGGGAGCTGGAGCTAGATGACCCCCCGTGGTCCCACTGAACCTCCCCCATCCTGGGATTTTGTGAGCCCCTGAAGAGCTGAAGGGGTGAGTGCAGAGCTTAGCCTTTGGTGTTTCTCTTCCCAGGGCGAAAGAGAGAAACTTCAGCTGGTCAGTGTGCCATCTCTGCAGTGAAGAAAGTTCTGGAAGGGTTGGCAGAGACTCCCCAGTGATTCTGTGCAGGGAATACTCCAGCTATTGGACTTGTTTTTCCCTGATTATTTGTGCTGGTGAATTGAGTTGTGAAAAGACAATGTGTTGAAGGAAAAACAGTTACAGTTTGGGTGTGCTTTCATAACCTGAAAAGCTCTTTAGACGTAGTGGCTCTGGACTGTGGCTTTTGAATCTAGCACCTGCGTATCTAGTGTCACTTCGGTGCTGCAGGCTTATAGCCTGTAGTGAGAACTTGCTGGGAAGTGCTTGATTCATTTGGCATCTGATCCTGAAAACTGCATCTTAAAATTGTTGCCTGACTTTTAAAGTAGGATCAGATTTTTGAGGAGTTGTGCAGATTTACCATAAAGCAAATTCTAAGATGGAGTTTCAGCTTTCTCAAAGTTTTGTCATGGCAGCAACCAGTGTAAATTATGTACTTAAGCCCCAAAACATCACAGTCATGGTCAGCAGTTATTAGAGAGTCTATTGTTCAAAACCCTTTAGGTATGAGGTAAAAAGGAAGGTGTATTTATTCCCTCTGTAAGCTGATGTTAAGATGATGTTGACGATCAGTTTCAAACTGCATTTGTTAATGGCAAGCATTCAGACCAACTTTTGTGTTTGAGTCAAAAGTGCATGTTTATATTTGTAGTGTGTGAGTAGATAAAATTGATTTTGTTTTGTCAGAAAATAATCAGGAGGCTGATGAAAAAGCACCAGCTGTTCATGCTGTTGAGATGTCCTGTATTCCATTGTTAACGGAACCAGCATGTTCCTGCTCTGAGGTACAGGGAGCCACAAAAACAAGGAATAATGATGCTACTTCCAGATTTTTGGTGGGTGTTTAAGTTTTTAATGAAGTTTAATATTTGTAAGCATGTGTTGAAAGTTAAGGAGGTGTTATGTTCTCTATACAAATGAAATGTCAGCCTTTGCTGTAGTTGAGATCCCTGGGGTGGACTGGCTCAGGAAATTCAAAATGATAGTGTTGTTTTCGGTAAATAATTAATGTGACTTTGGTGTATTTGCATTGTTTTTACAGAGATTTAGAGTCTGGTTACTTTCTGGGGAAATAAATTGTAGGAATTTAAGAAAGACTTTTATGTTTGCAGGGGTTTGGGTTTTTTTTTTCTTGGACATATTTGTTAATGTTAATTTGCCTTTTGTTAAACTTGCTCTTTCTGTTATATCTATGTAGGGAAACTCTAGAGCAAGGTGGTCGTAAAGCTCTTCTATGAATCTTTCAGTTTGTAGCCTTTTAGATATTTATTCCAAAGATCTAAGAAGTTCTGTTTTATTTTGTTTTGTTTTTACTGCATGAAGGTTCCTATAAATGTTGTTTTTCTGAGTGGGTGGAAACTGCAAAAAAAATTAAAATATTTGAGCAATGGTCCCCATACAAGAAGTAGGTGGTTACCCAGACTGCTTTTGAAGGGCATAACTGAGTACAAACTATGGTCTAGTTTCCCCCCACTCTTCTGTGCCTGGATAAAGGAACTAAACAGTAAATGTTCTTTCAGGTTCCTCTTTCTGACAATAATGAAAGCAAAGAGTCAAAATCTATTCAAAGAAAGAGAGTGCTTCCATCTTGGATGCTGGAAAGAGATCTTCTGGTGCGGAGGGTTTCCAAGCCTGTTACGACGGGAGGTAGGTTTGCAGTGTGATAATGATTGCATTCCAATATGCATTTCTGTGCTTTGATATACTTTTTAAAATTATAATGATGGTGGTAGGAAGTATTAATTTGCTACTTCTCTTTCCATGCTCTGTGTGGGGCCAGCTGACAAAGACTGACTTCTGTTGTCTCCTTTGTCATCAGTCTTATGGGTGTGATAGAGCTCTTTTTTATCAGTTAATTTTCTTTCTGTTCTTTTTGTTTTGGATGCTAGATAATAAACTCTGTACAGCTGAGCGTTGGACGTTCAGGAGCCCTTTGCTATAAACTTTCCTATTTTGTATGTAAATTCTAAGTAGTTTCTGTCTCTTTAATTCCTAGAGTTCTCCACACTTAAGTCACTGATGTTTTGCCCTTCTAAATTTAGATTCTTAATTTCAGAGGTTTTAAAGGCAGAAGGGTTTGGGTGGTGTTGCATGTTAGTTTTTTAATCGTAACTGAATCAAACTTGGTTATTTAGTCCAAAGTTAATTCCTAGGAGGAGCAGTTCATTACAGTCTGATAGATTCTTACCAACAGAAGTTTAGGTGGTGTTGCATTCCCTCCTGTTCTTGTGGGAAAAGAAATTGCTGGATGTGTCATGTGCTGCTGCTGCCTAGCAGCAGTGACAGCAGCAGAAGGCTGTTTTCAGTCACTGTCAGTGGGACACACGAGGTGCCTATGCATTGGCACAAGCTCAAGAAGACTTTATAACATGTCTGCCTTTGGTCCTGGGAGCTTTTAAAATGCCATTAGACAAACTTTCTACATGGCATTTATTGCCCTTGTGACTTCTATTGATGGAACAGGAGGGCCAAAGAAGTGAGGGGGAGAAAGTATTTCTGTCACTCCCTGTGCACACCCCACCCTGTTTGCCCTTCTGTGGGGAGATGTGAAGTGGTTTGGGGGCAAACTTGAGTTTCCTTTGCTGATCAGTCCAAGTATATGAGCTGTAACTGGTGAGTGTGTGTCTGCTCCCATGTGCAGCAGCTCTACTCTAGGGACTCTTTTCAGCTGCTCTTTCTACTGAGATGCTGTTATGGATTTGGCTCTAAATATCCAAGCAAGCCCACAGGAGTATGTTAAATACAGTGTCTGGCCAGTTGCTTCTTCCCTCCTGTTGTAAATACAGGTGTCTGTGTGCACTGATGAGGGCAACTGTGGCTTTAAAAACCTCAATCATGTGCCATCCACCACACTGCCTATTCTTTTCCACAAAAGCTAGTTTGGAAAAAAATTATAAGATGACAAAGAAAATCTGTGTTTCAGTATTTTTTCTTTCATCTCCCTTCTAAATCTAGACTGTTCCTTCCTGCCATATTTATATAAAAATTGCATGGTGTTGAGTCCTGTACTGGTGTAATAGTTTTCTTATGTTTGTGCTTTTGTTTTGTATTTTTGGGGGGGGTGGGGTTTGTTTGTCTATTTGTTTGTTTCTCTGCCAGTACTATAACGTTTGCTATATGTGTGAATATAATGTTTATTTCAAAGACTGAATGTTTTGGTTTTGTCAGTGTTGAGATTAGGAGCTGTGTGGGTGAGTATCTCAAGCCCTGACATTGGGGGAACTGGGGATACATGCAAACATTGGAACTGTTTAAAAAGTCTTTTTCACAACTGCTGCCATTTCTCATGCTGTGTGCCCAGTGTTCTGCTTTAATGGTTTCTAGTGTCAGGATTTCACTAAAAAATTGCATTCCAAAAGTACCCTTTTTTTTAAGGTAGTAGAAAGAAAAAAGGCCAAGGAAGGGGAGAAGATCTTACAGAGTCATTAAAATCAGAATTACATGTACAGCAGAAAAAAAGATTACCTTCTGAAGAAACTATAGAGGATTTTGAAGGTGGAGAGCAAGATCAAGGGAAAAGGAGCTGCCTTGCAATCCCTGTTCCTTTATCTCAGGTAACTTTTTGGCTCAGGGCGCAACCATGATATTGCAAAAAATGAGAATGTAGTTGGCATTGTCATGTTGAAGGTTAGGTCTACAACATAACTTTTTGTTCTCTGTGTTCTGATCATGATTTGTTGTTTTGAAATACCAGTCTTTTGGATAGCTCTGTAGCAAGAATCATGGAAGCCTCAGAGATTTGGTTTTCTGCATTTCCTTCAAAGGATCTGGGACATGGGCCCCAAATGTCCCATGGAAGTACCAGACTGAGAACTTCACAGCAAGAAGCAGGAGCACATGGGCCAGAGCACTGCTCCTAGGAGTGGCTGGTGCATGTGGCTTCTTTTTCTGAGAACCTCTGGGGATAGATGATGGTGTGAAACTGATGCAATGCAACACTGGGCTTTGCCCAAGCTATTGCCATTCTGGTAGGTGAGGGTTTATGGTCAGATGAGGATGGTGTGTGGCTCAGCAACTGCTGTTTCAAAGGAAGGTAGCATGGAGTGTGCTTATGCCACCATCTCAAAATCTGAGTCAAAAAAAGGAAAACAAAGTAACCTGAAACCTAAAACTATTTGTGGCAATGAGTGAACAGACCCTTTGGTCCAGCAGGTCAAGTCTCTCTGTGACCTCACAGTACAGCTGCATTTATAGGCAGTTAAATCCTTGCTAACAACATCCTGCAAGTGGTGAGAAGGATCATTGCTAAAGTCAAACAAAGCATATTCTGGTGAGAGCAAACAGAATTTCACTGACTTGTTTTCTTTAAGTGAACCACTCTGGAAGGTGTTTTTAATGACTGGCATTAAAATTGCCTGGGTGTGTTCCAGGATCTGATAAAATACTTAAAATGCTTCTGACACTGAAAATTATTGGGGTTTTGGTTTTAAGGTTAATCGAAACAAACTGTGCATGGAGAGCAAGTGGTAGTAGTAGTTTTGGTATAACAGTGGTCCACTAGGTCCATTAATAACAGCTGCTGAGCTATTTTCTCTTTTCCTGGTTATAAAATGAGTGACTATGTAATTAATTATTCAATTTTGCAATTTGTACGTAGGAAGCCTTACTTGTTTTCACCTAATAATTACATAAATCATTTTAATTTCAAGTACAGTTTAAGAAATTGCTTTCAGGACTTTGCAGAGAAACTGATGTATTAGGGCAAGCAAGAGTAGTAACCATAGAGAGCTCTGAAAGACTGTAATTTGGATAGCAGAGCCTAAATTGTGGTCCTGCTGTCGTGTTTAAGGCGATTGAGAAAATGTTCTGTAGGGAAGAAAGCAAAAATATCTGAATTGTTGTGGCTGGCAGCAGCCACCAGAGGCTGTCCCAGTGCTGAGTGCTGGTGGCTTTTGGTTTCCCTGGATCACAGCCTGGTGTGTAACCAGGGAATTAGTGTGAGCCTTCTGTCTCCTTATGTACAGTACAGGCAAGGGGTGGAAATACATGGTAGAGAACTCAAAAGTGGTGTTGGCAAATAATAGTAATTTATGCTTTCTTTTGCAAAGAAAGGCTTATTTCCTTAATTGCAGTTGATTGCTGAGCTGTATTTTGAGAGTTGTCTTTGTCTCCTAGTTGAGTCACTAAATGTGCTTCTGTCAGGATCATCTGATGTTAATCCCGACTTTCCCTTTCTTAATCAAGTTGCTGCTCAAATGTAGTTGGTTTTGGATAACATTTCATGGGACTTTCTTGTAAAGGAACAAAATCCAGTAGGAAATCACTGGTTGATTTTCAAGCTCTGCAAAACACACCTGTGTAAATTAAGTATAAATTTACTGGAGGGGAAACATAGATAATAATCTTTAGAAAGCACAGACATTTGAATAGTTCTATGATGTATCAAAGTAGTTCAGCCTTGAATGTAATATGCTTCCAGGTGATGTCTCCATTGTCAGGACAGTGTTTTTTCCTCAGTTGTGTATCTCAGATTCTTTTTCTAAAGAACACATTTCTTATTTTAAATGTACATTTTTTTTCCAGAATTTAAAATGCAGTTAGTGTCAAAACTGAAATATTTGCTTAATGGTGTCTATGACAGACTGTTGTGATTTAGAGTCATGAGCTGAAGCATTTAAGATGTATCAGTGTGGGATTAACCTCAGGGTATGTGTCCTGAGTTCCCATATATCTTCTATATAGATAAATACAAATATACTCCATGTATCTGGGTGCTTAAATTATTAAGAAACTCGTTAAATTAGTAAGTGATTCCTTAATAATTTACATTGATTCATGGGTAGGAGTCTGTCCAAATTACATTCTTCTACAGTCTACTACATCTTCACCTGTATAATCCCCATTAATTTTTCAGGAGCAGTAGTTTAAATTGTAAGTCAATTTAAACTAGTTCTTGGACTGTTCACAAACTGAGGTGATGAGAGAACAGGTCATGTGAGGGAACTGAAGCTGAGGAAGGAAGCTGTTAGATAAGTTTTTCTTTTAAGTTTTTCTTGTAAGATAAGTTTTTCTCTTTGTGTTTTCTGAACTTGAGGTTTTCATTCAGCAGCTGTGTTTAGCAGTGAACTTGAGTTTAGGAAGTGGAGTAGAAGATTTTTTAAGTCTAGAGCAGATGAACTTTCAAGGTCCTTTCTAAATCAGGCTGTTCTGTGACTGATTTTGAAAGCAGGGATGATGAGGCACAGTTTTACTTCAAAGCTTTTCATTCTGAGGAGTGTAAATTTTCAGGTTCTTCAAAATGTAACCTTGTTCCACAGAATACATCTGGATTTCCTCTTGAAACTACCATGAGAGATATGGAAGCAAGTGGCAAGACTGAAACAACAAACCCTGGAAATTCTCTGGAAAAAAATGATAGGCAGCTGCATAGCAAATGGTCTAAAAGAGAAGGTCAGATCTCCATTAAAGACAACAGAATTGAGGAAACAGAAAACAAAGAGCACATTGCTGGCTCTACAAGCCGACAAGCTCACTGGGGCAGGACTTCCCAATATCTTGGTGCTCAGGAAAGGATTCTTGAGCCTGATGCAAATCTGGACTACAACCCTGAGATTTCTGATTCAGCTAGAAGTGCAGATGCTTCAGAAAGCTCCAAACCGATGCACCATAAGAGGACACCTTGCAAGTATGGAAGTGGCTGTTACAGGTAAAGCAAAATCAATACTAGCTTGGTCTAGCCGGTTATTCAGAAATAACGTATTAGCTATGGAAGAGAAAACTGTAAAGTTGTTATAAACTTTGATTTGGAAAAAAAATCTTTTGTTGAACAGGGATCTGATGAGAAATAAATAGCAGAACACTAATTTTAGAAGGATAAAAGGAGGAGCTGGGATGTCTTGCTAACTCCTAATACAACCCAAACAAGGGATGAAGTATTTGAGCAAACTAAAAGATGAAGTGTTGCAGGAAATAAAATATAAAGGTCCATTATAAAAGGAAAAGAAATAAAAGACCTGTGTGTATGGTATGAGGTACTAGTAGGGAGAAGAGGTGTAAAAGGTTCAAATGCCCAACACTGACCCTGTAGGTTTGTTTTTTTAGCAGATGAGACTTATATGAAAGATTACTGTATTTATTGAAGTTACTGCCTGCTTTGTGATCTGAATGTTTAAAATACTTACTCTTTGTCATCCATAAATAATCAAGAATTTATCTTATTATAACTTGATGTTTCTGCAATTTTTAAAAAGCTTTCAGTCACCCCTAAAACCAGAACAAAGCATACTTAGAATTTGAGGTTAACTCTTATCTGGACAGTCTTTAGAAATACTGCAAGTCAGGAATAACAGGGGCTTTTCCTCTTCTTTTCACTCATATCCTTTCAAGATGGACATGGTAGAAGATTTGTCATACCAGAGAAGTTCCAAAACACCAGTGCTGGGTGCCTGGCTTCCTGCTAGTTCTTTCTGCCCAGAAAAGATCTGTGGTGTTCTGTCATGTTACATTAAATGGAAGGCTGAAATCTAGAGGTGCTCTTGAGTCTAGAAAATGCCCACTGACCTGTGAACTACATTTAGGAGAAGGTTTTGAGCTCTAGATAATCCCTATAATGTAATTTTTTTGTAAATACAAAAGGCTAATCCAGGAAACAGCAGATCCTGTGACTTTTTTTATCTTCCCCCAAGGGGCTTCAACAATAATAAAAGCAGTGAGTTTGGTTAGGAGCTAAACAAGCACAAGTGACTGGCTTCCTGTATGTTTGGTGAGCCTGATGCTGAGATAATTGAATATCAAAATTGTAAAGCTGTTGTGTTCATGAGCACATCACATGTTGGTTTTCATGTAACTTTGACATATCTCATTTTTTCCCCTTAATGATTATGACAAAAGCATGTCTTATTAGACAGTTCTGTTGATGCAGTGGTGCAAATGCAGCCTCTGGTTTGCTCCAGCTACTTTGAATATTGCTGAGACAGGTTTTGCCCTGTGTGGGTATTAAGGAGATTCAATGCTCTGCTATGAAGAAATATTCTTATCTTTAGGATAAGAATATTTCTAAGGCAAATCTTAGGTACTGGTAGTAGGGAGTAGGAGTCTATATGTGCACATTTCTTCCTGGGTCTCTTGATTGCGAGACATTTGGCAGCAGTACTTTTGGAAAGTATTGCTTTATAAAAAGAAAAGAATGTTCTGAAATTACAAATAGCAGTCTTTGTCAGATAGGGAGAAAAAATAGGGAGAATTTTGTAAATAGGGAGAACCAAAATGTTAGCTTTGATCTTCAGGAAATATTATGAAACTCAACTTGTTTGCTTGCAGCAAAAGAAATGTGCTTTGTAGTCTATCTTTGTATTTGCTTTTAGTTCAAGGCCCCTAAGTAGTTGTTTCTGTGTGGTGGCAAAAGTGTGTTAGAGCAAAGATTAAATGTTAGATCTAGTTATTTGACTACATTTCTATTAGCCTGTAGCGAACATTTAGCAAGTAAATTTGTAACCCATAGTTTTGTTTCTTCATTTATGAATTTGAAAACACTGCTTTTGAAAGAGTTAAACTTGCACACCTCTTGCACCAAGGAGTCTTCTTGTCACCTTCATTCACTGTCACTTTCTGAGGTGGCCAAATTCAAAGGAGCTGCTGTTATCATCAGGAGACAAAGTGCTCTGTGTATGTTGTAGCTGCCTTTATTTGTTATCGAGGAACTCACCCTCTGAATGCTGTCACATGTTTTTGTCTGCTTCTTGCTTTTCTGAAGTTAGCAGAATAGGGAATTAAAATAAATCTACCACCATCACCCTTTTTAAGGGCCACCATAGAAGAGGTATAGTAGACCTGAACTCTCATGTCTGAAACAGTGTCGTGGTTTGAAAAGGAAGTGAGTTTTTTTGGGATGCTGTGGTAAACCAATAGGTACTCAGATTTGAATATTGGCACCTTGTGTGGCCACTGAGGACATGGTTGTGCCTCTGAGGATACAGGGGGTTAAAAGCAGAGAACTTCCAGGAAAACTTTCTCTTGGTTCTGGTCAGGGAAAGGTTCAGGCCTCTCCTCTGCCCAGCTGCTGCAGCTGGCGGGGGAGGGGAAGACATGTGGCCAAGCGAGGTAGGCCAGGCCCTGAGGATGGAAGGGTGGAGGAGCACCAAGAGACATCGGGCAGCCACCCCCCCGCAGGAGAGAGAGAGAGCGAGAGAGAGCGAGAGAGAGCGAGAGTGAGCTGGTATCTATGCCTGGGCCAACTTGGAATTTCATAGCGGGCCGGCTGAGAAGGAGAAGGGGGAGTTGCGGCAAGAAGGTGCTAGCAGGGCAGCCGTGGGAGTTCTGGACAGGCAGAGCCTGAGATTTTTTTAATGCTTTTTTTGGATGATGGAAACCTTACAAATGCTGATCCTCCTGGAGTTGAATGAGAAGAGGGATAGAGATGAGATAAGAGGAAATGGGCCATGAGAGAAGTTGAGAAGAATCCTAGGTGAGAGGGATGATGGAGTGGCCTTTGGCTGGAGTTTTCTTGTATAGCCATGGACAGAACCATTTTTTCCTGTGACACAGAGACTGCATTTAGGGGGAGGCAATGGCTTGGAGCCAAGAGAGTGCAGTGATGTTATGTGAAGGAGTGCGTGAACAGATACGATGGGTGAGGAGGGTGGTGGTGCCCTCCATCTTCAGTGAAGGAAAAGATCTCTGTTCTCAAGACCCCTCGGCCCCAGGGGGTGAAATTTGGGGGGGACAGGTGTCCCGAAAGTGAGAGACTGTGCTCTTTTTTTGGAATTGGACAAAGCACCCTTAAAAGGAGAGCCCTAGAAGCAGCTCTGGTCCATGTGCAGTGGTGAGAGCACTGGGCATGGAAGGAAGATGTTACAATGGCAGATGATCTCTGGGCAGTGCCACGAGTGACATGGAAACGCAAGAGGTCTCAACTGTGTTTCCTGGGGAAGCCTATGGTATAAGAGGGACTCCTCACTCCTTGATGAACTGAGAATTGATTATCTAAAGGGTGGTGATGGATTGAGAGTTGGTGATTTGAGGGATGGATGTATTGGAAATTTGGTGACGGGAGGAGGAATGTTTTTGGAAGGTTTTCATTCTCTCTGTGTATTTCTTTTTCATATAGTTGTAGGTTAATAAAGTTTTCTTTATTCCTAAGTTGGAGCCTGCTTTGCTCTATTCCTGGTCACATCTCACAGCAGACACCAGAGAGAATTTATTTTCATGGAGGCACTGGCATTGCACCAGTGTCAAACCGTGACAAACTGGAATTTGGAATCTTTCTTCCACAATTCAGTCCTTTTGCCATAGCCTGGAGTGCAGTTCTCTGCTGACTGGGGGTGTGTAAATCTCTCCAAAACTGTCAGGGCTGGGGGATGCTCATCCAATGTTTGGATTTTTTTGTGGGTTCTTCTAAATACTTTGCTGTTTGTTTATGAAAATAAATATTTTTCCTTTCATTCTAAGCTTGTAAATCAGGCAGCTAAAGACCTGCATCTGTCTTTTTTTTTTCTTGACTCCTGTTAATTAGGAATTAAAATACAGAACTTACAAACATGTTATGTGTAGTTATGGCATAACTTCAGGCTTGAATTCTATGGCTTTATAAGCAGTGCTGGTATTTCACTACATTTTCACTAGGAGGTTCGTTCAGTAGCTGAAGAAATAAGCCAATGTGATAGCAAGGGGTCTTCTGCATGGGATTGTGAGGAGTCAGGGATTCTGAACAGATTAGTTAAATTTGCTTTGTAAAAAGTTTTTAAAGTTGCTTTTTATAGCTACACAGATGAATAATATTAAAATATATAAATATTTCACTGAGCAATATTCAAGTTTTGCTTGACAATGATTGCATTGATTCTGAAGAAGTTTTAAAGTTTTATTTGCATAGTTTTAGTTCACATAGTTTCCTGCATCGTGAAGTGTTGAGTACACAAATTTAGAGTTTCTGTGAAAGCAAATCTGCAGTAACTGTGTCAGAATGTTTATATGAAGGCAACATTAATAAAATTTTCTTATTAAAATAGGCTTTTAATTGTTATTTTTCATGCAAGTAAAGCCTAATGATTTTGTTTTGATCAAATGAATTAACACATTCCTGTGCACTGAGGCTTTGTGGTGAAACAGTTAACTTTGGAGTGCAACTTAGAGTGTGATAGATGTGCTCCTGTAACTCAAATATCTTATGTCTGCAAATAAATATAAAAAAAAACCCAAACAAAACCTTTAAGGAAGAAGCCTTAGGGTTTTTCTGAAAAAAGGAAAGATGTTTGCTTATTAGCTATGCACTTCTCTGCTTCCTTTTAGTTTGTAGGGTATTGTTGCACTACACATAGAGTAAGTATAAATTAGCCAGGTAAAGCTAAGATAAAATAAGATGTTTCTACTGATCATCTGAGGTAGGACATGTTCAAGACATAGGACATGTTTGAGGTGCTCCACAGGTAATGTATAATTTGAGGAGCATCATCTCCTGAAGCCTAGTGACAAGGACTTGTACATCACAACTCTTTTGTTGCTCTTCCTTCTTTCTCCCCTACTTCTTTTTCTTTTTTTCCCCCTCGCCTTCAATAATGGCTGTTTGGTGTTGTCCAAGTAGGTCTTGAAGCAACATTTTAAAAGGAAATGGATATCTCCTAAAATACAATAAATCTGCTAATTGACAGCTATTAGTCCTTCTTTCCATGGTGTCCTGGTTTGAAAAGGAAGTGAGTTTTTTGGGATGCTGTGGTCAAACCAATAGGTGCTCAGATTTGAATATTGGCACCTGGTGTGGCCACTGAGGACATGGATACGCCTCTGAGAACACAGAGGGTTAAAAGCAGAGAACTCCCAGGGGGAAGCTCTCTTGGGTTCTGTCAGTGAAAGAGATCAGAGCTCCCGTGCCCGGCTGTGGGCTGGGTGGGGGAGGGGAAGCCATGCAGCTGGGTGAGGTAGGCCGGGGCTTGGACAGAGAAGGGGGGTGAAGGTCCCTGCAGGATGGAAGGGTGGAGGAGCACCGAGACCCATTGGGCAGAGAGAGAGAGAGAGAGAGAGAGAGAGAGAGAGAGAGAGATTTGATAGCACAGCCAGCTGAGAAGGAGAAGAAGTGGGGGGGGGGGGGGGGGGGGGGGCAGGGGCGGTGTGGCGAGAAGATGCCCATCAGGGCAGCCCTGGGAGTTCTGGACAGGCAGAGCCTGAGATTTTTTTAATGCTTTTTTTGGATGATGGAAACCTTACAAATGCTGATCCTCCTGGAGTTGAATGAGAAGAGGGATAGAGATGAGATAAGAGGAAATGGGCCATGAGAGAAGTTGAGAAGAATCTTGATGGCATGGATGATTGGAGTGGCCTTTGGCTGGAGTTTTCTTGTATAGCCATAGACAGAACCATTTTTCCTGTGACACAGAGACTGCATTTAGGGGGAGGCAATGGCTTGGAGCCAAGAGAGTGCAGTGATGTTATGTGAAGGAGTGCGTGAACAGAGACGATGGGTGAGGAGGGTGGTGGTGCCCTCCGTCCTCAGGGAAGAAGAAGACCTCTGTTCTCGAGACCCCTTGGCCCCAGGGGGTGAATTTGGGGGAGACTGGTGTCCCGAAAGTGAGAGGACTGTGCTTTTTTTTGGAGCTGGGCAAAGCATCCTTAAAAGGGGCTCCCTTTTAAGTTGGAGCCTGCTTTGCTCTATTCCTGGTCACATCTCACAGCAGACACCAGGGAACATATATTTTCATGGGGCACTGGCATCGTGCCAGTGTCAAACTGTGACACATGGCAACCTTGATGCTTTATGTATCTTGATGTAGGAGTAAGAATTAAACTTAAATCAAGGAATATCAGTTGCTGCTGTATCTCTTTCAGAAGATAAATTGTATTTCATGTGACTGAGAATTCTTGCTATTGCTGCAAGTATGTTAGTTCTGTGCATTAAGAAAACAAAGTGGCAAACGGCCTCTAAATGATTTGGCTTCATCCCATTTATTTTAATGGGGAAACAAGTAGGCAGCCAGTCTGAATTTGCCTCAAGAAGTGAGGTTTTATGAGAATTTTTAAAGAATAAAAGACTGCAACCCTGCAATAGTTTCTAGTGAAACGTTATTCAATTGTCCTACAGTTTGTAGAAGCAACAAAAGACCAGGACAAGAAGCCTATCACCTATGTAACTAGATCCAAGGCATACTGGATCTTTGGTAAGTGGCTTATGGAAGAGTTTATCTGTAGCTTGCTTGTGGAGTTTCCTGAGTGAAACATACCTAGCAAATGGAGATTTAAAGAATTAATACTAAATAGCTGGTATTTCTCAAATGCTAAAAGGAAGCCTGAATGGCCAGCAGAGCTCACAATGTTTAAGTCATCCTTTTGTGAAAGCTGTAACAAATTCTCTTTTGTTATAGTGGTAGTTGAAATGCTAAAATGAATATTGACTCTCCTCTGTGAAGTTCAGAAGAGGTAATTGTGAGTTTAAAGGAGTTTCTCTGATCAGTGAGGAAGTTGCTGTGTATGGAAGTGGCTGCACACATCCTTGGTGTGTTCCATACCTGCTTCTAAATGCAGCTGTAGCAAGTCCAAGCTAAAGCAGTAACTACTCTGTAGCTGAAAGTTGCTATTCTTCCTGCTTGAGGCAGGCAGCTCACTTTTATAATTTGCACAAACACACTAGAGGTTATGTACTCTGGGAATGATTGAGGTAATCAGTAAAGTATTTTGCAGATGTCTTTTGGAAAATAATTTATTTAAAAATTTCACATGTCTTGCTTCTCAGTATTACACTTGGAAAAAAAGCCTACAGGAAATTATAGGGAAAAAATAGATTTGCTTTTGCTACTATTATGTTAATTTTGATGTAATTTTTTTAGCCTGTTTTGATCTGTCACATGAATTTCTCCTGAAGTGGGAACTTGATTTTCTGTGTTCTTCTTAATTCCACTTACAACAGTTCTAGAAGGAAGAAACTCTTCTTTAAGTGATGTTTATGACTGCCTAGTCTTGAGTGGTGTGTGTACAAAGCTCTTGCCTAGAAGTGGTAGAAATGTTCTTTCAGTGATGCATACATTTCATTATGTTCCCTACTTGTTCACTTCAGATTAAAGTATTGTAGAGCAAGAAGTTGTGGATGATGGTCTTATGCTGTCCTCACTAACATTGGTGTGACTCAGCTACACATGAAGTTGTTAATGTCTTATGGTACAACTTCATGTCAGCATGCTAGTTTGTAATTCAAATAAAGCCTTTTGTACATGTGTTGGAGGTCTGAAACTTAAAGCTGATGGGAAATAGGAAAATTCCTGGTTTAACTTCTGTTGCAGCAGGTGCTAAGACAAAATTTCTTCTGTTGTCCTGAAAGTAGGTCATACAGTCTGCGTCAAGTTAAACATTTAAAGCTCCTCTTCATGTAACCACAGAAAAATGAGCTGTCAATGACTCAGTAACATGTTTTACATGTCCTCTCTTGTGTTGAAATGGAACAGTCAGTTTCAGTGCATATTTGTCTTTTGCAGGAAGAATCCCATTCACTTCCAGCAGTTCAGTCATCCTAATGATGATGACTATCACAACATGGAGATGGTGGCTCAGGACGATGACAGCCGGCCTGAGTGTCCATATGGAACAGCTTGTTATAGGTGAGAAACGTGCACAGTGGCTCTTCTTGTGTCAGGTTAAGAATGTTCTCCTCTGCAGTTGCAGAAGGACAGTAGAATAATGACTAACTCTTGATGTTTACATTGGCTGTAGCCTTCCGAAATTTACTGCAGTCAGACTTCTACCCTTAAAGCACCCAAGTCTGTGCATATTTTTAACACTGACACAGTAAAAATCACTATTTTGGTAATTATGTCAGCTCTCAGAGCTGAAAACTTGACTGCTCAAAGAGCCTATTCAGTGACCTGGAGATCAACACTGTATCTCTTTTCAACATTCAGTAAATTGTTCTTTTATATAAGCAATTTATTGTTACATGTTGTTCTTGATCTGTAACTTTTATTTAAATTTTGGTAATGTATTTGTTGTGATTTTGCAAAAAAACTATTTTAGTCAGTACTTGATTTATTACAAAGCATAATTGAGGTAACAGCAATAAAATCCAGTTTATGGCTGACTGCTGTTTCTTTTAAGCACTGTTGATTTTCTTCAAAATATTGTTGTATTCCATTGTTTTTCAGTATCTTGGGTTTACATATTTAGCAGACTGCATAATTATTACAATGGACAAGAAGATATATTTTGAGGCAATAGCATTTCTATGGGAGCATATTGAAACTGGTGGCTGCTGTTAAAGATTGTTTCTGCACATAAACACTTTCTCCTGGAAAGTGTGGTTGTCCTAAAAAGCATGATCTCCATGAAATGTAACAAAATGAGGGCAGCTCGTAGGAAAAAGCCTTGGTGATACTCAGCTAATGCAGAAAAAGTGGTTCTCTTAAAAACATGTATGAGATTAATTTTCTATCTCAGGCTGAGCGATACAGACTTGTATCAGTAATGAAATTGCCAACATGCTTCTCAGGAGTACAACGGATGCTTTATCTAAACCCCAAACTGGCTCTCCTTCCAGATGAGACAACCTCTGTGTTGCATGAGTTAGTAATTTCTTAATCTGTGTTTCATTATTTGGGGATAGAGGAAAGGAGGCACCCATGAAAAATTGATCATTCTTTTGATGAAGCAACAGATATAATTTGAAGGGGTTTTGTGTTAATTTTTTTGTCCTTATCTGTTGGCTATTACCTGACTGATCTAAATGCTGTGCCTTGAAAATTATCCATAAAATACCAGGGAATTCTGCACTTGTGAAATGTGATGGAATCAAGCTTTTACTGTTCTTTGCAGGAAGAACCCCCAGCACAAACTGGAATACAAGCACAGTGCACCTCCAGGTAGGCCAATTTATTCAATATTACAGAATGACAGAAAATTCTGAATTGGAAGGGACCCACAAGGACAATCATGTCTATCTCATTAAAATGCTTTAATCTCCCTTTAGGAAATAAAATTGCATTTATAGCTCCCTCTGTATTAGGATTTTTTTTTTTCTGGGATTTTTTTAAATCAGAAATTCTCAGGTAAGATAAAATGTTAAAATATTCTGATGCTCTAAACAAAATACTGCAACCATATCTGTCATCTTTTTGTGCTGGGTTTTTTTCACCAGTGATTTTCTTACTGTGAGAATTAATTTTTGCATGTATGTTCTCTTGACGCCTGGAGGGAAGATAACTAAAACTGAATTTGAGTTCCTAATCTAACACTTTGTAGTCTTTTCATATTCCAGTAACTTGATTTGGTGAAGAAACACAGGGGAATGTGCTGTTTACATTTTGTTTGCTCTTAAAGAATTGAAAGAGATACTTCTTGGTTTTATTTTTTTGTGGTGCTTTCTCTTGATTATTGGATTGGAGCTTTTCCACGTGAAATCCCAATGCTAGAAACAGTAGTTTAGAGCAGAACACTTAGGGATCTGTCATGATAATGCATTTTGCTTTGAAGATTCAGGGCTATGACATTATTAAGTTAGAATAGCATTTATGGAAACAGTAGTGTAAAATATTTAAATGCCCTAAAATATTCCAATTTCCTGCTTAAAAACTCCCAGTCAGATTTGATGACATTTGTCTACAGATGGCAAGGGTAATAATTTTAAGAACAGTTTATCTGGGTAATCTCTTGGGAATGATTCAAGACAAAAATGGTATTTTTGAGGCATCAGAGTAGCTTTTATACCTGTAAGTACAGCACAACCATTTCAGCATTTGTTTAATAGGTCAGTTTCCTGTTGTAGCAGCTCTAAGAATAACCCTTATGGTAGGGTTCCCTCTGTCCTGACTGACAACTTCCCTTTTTTTAGTAACTGGAAGAGGAACACGACAACGAGCTTCAAGCAATGGTGAGTGTATTCTGTAGTTATGAGTGGGCACATCAACCTGGGACACCATTGGTCTGCTGTGGCTCTTTTGGCATTTAATAGTGCTGGAGATGCTTGATAATACTTAGCTGAGGAGAAAATAGTCATTATTTTAGTAAAATCCTTGTTTTCTTACAAGTAATAGTCCTTCAGTTGTATTTGTGCCAGTCTTCCTGGATAATCACACCTGTATTTTCCTAGAAGCAGACAAGAAAACAAAGATATTTTAAGGAGAGACACACATGGCTAAATGGTGTCTTCCATCTTCACTCCTTACACAGCAGCCATAATAGGATTAAAGGAATCCAGTATTTCATGCACAGCTAGTTAAGGTTGCCTTATAAGGAGTGATTGCTCCTGCAACATGGAGATACTCCCTCTGACCTTTAACTAACTTCCAGGTGATAATCTGTGCATGTGCTGATGAACTTGCTTACTCTTACAGTGAGGTACTGAAATTTCAGGGCTTGTTAGGATCAAAGTATAGAAGTTTATGTATGTTGGGGGCACATAGACTCAAGTTTTAAACATGCTGTCTTGGTTTGAAAAGACAGGTGTCTTCTAAAGAAGGCAGGAGCCTCCCTTGAAATGGAAAATGTAAACCTGCTCCCTCCGAAATATAATTTTGAAATTAAAAGGCTCTCAGGCAAAGACATGGGGATAGGAATAACAGTTTTTTTACTAGGAAAACTAAAAATACAAATGCAATAGTACAAACAAACAAAAAAAACCCCACTGACAGAGTCAGAATGCAACCTGACACCCTGTTGGTGAGGGTGGCAGCAGTACAATTGAAATGGTGGCTGTAGTCCTCCTGGAGTGACAGGTGTGGTTCTGTTGAAGCAGCGATCCTGTAGAAGGGTGTAGTTTTCCTCTGAGGACCCAGTGGTGGTGTAGATGGGCTTTGTCTTCCTCTGGGAATCTAGTGGAGAAGAAAGCTGCTCCTCTGGGAATCCAGTGGGAAAAGGCTGCCTACGGTGTTCCAAATCTCAAATTATATCCAGGTAGGAATGTTTGGCTCCTCCCCCCCAGAGGAGCTTCTCACAATAGGATGATGTAATTTTATCAGTCATGTGGTGACAGTCAATGGCCCACTAACAGAAGATATTTCCTGGAGAGAGGAATGGTTGTGGAACAGATAAAGAAAACTGCCCAAATAACAGAAGATAACTGCCCCACCTCTAACAGATAGGAATAGAATACTCACATATCTTACAACCCAGGACATATGCTTAGGTCTGCTTCCAGGATTCTTTTTTGTCTTGTCTTCCAAATGTGAAGCTTCCTATGTTTTCTAAAATTAAAAGTGAGCTTTGAAGAGCAGTCTGAAAGTCTGATGCTGTGCAGTCTTTGCTTTCAGTGACCAGAGTAAGGCAGGAGGGTGTAGAGCTGTTTCATTTTGAGTGGGAGTGGGAAGTGGCTTGCCTTCTTTGAGATCACCAAGGAGAGGCTGGGAATTTCCTAAAGAAATCTTCAAAATAGATTTGCTTTCTACAGAAAGTAAATAAAAGTGCAAATAGTTGTAGTTAGCTTTCTAGGCAAAGTGTTTTGACCTCTATTTCTGTTCTGTATGAATGCAGGAGGTTGTTTTAAACTTTCCACTGAGAAATTTTTTTGCCATACCATTTTCTTATCCAGTTTGTGTGCACTTTGACTATCACCAATATTTGCTATGCTTATATCTGTGCACCAGCATATTCTGAGGCATGTTTGTTACCCATGTGTTTTAGTGTATCCTGTGATACAAGTACCAGCCCCCGTCATGATCAGAGGTCCGTGGTAGAAATTTGTGTTGCAGAGTGTTGAGGCATGCACTGAGTGTTGAAGATTTTAATATGAAACAGGCTGGGCTGTGTGCATATCTAAAAGTCCACATCTATTCTTGAAGGTTTTAAATTGCAGCTGTGCCTCTCATAAGAGCACGTTCCTTATCCAAATAGTAGGGTGTACCCTACCCCTTGTGTGTGCAGCTAATGGTCAGGCAGGGGTGACTCTGAAGGAAGAAGTGCTGCTCTTGTAGCATGTAAAACTTGCACACAGAAGTGAAATTCAGTCTGTCAAATTCAACTCTTCTTACTAAGAACAAACTGTGGAAGAGTTGATATTCTGCACACACAGGAAAGAAGGGAATTAATTTATTAAGTTCTGTTTATATTTACTATTAAAAAAAATTGTAATGTTTTGTTGACTGGTTTACTTAGCTCTGTGGAGGGCAAAGCTTATAAAAGGTGGTGCTCAGCAAGTTCACACTTGAGGCCATCATACCACATCCTGCAGGGTCAGATAGACAGTAAGAGCTCCATTAACCTTTATTTTGTCATATTTGGCACAACTGCACCATTAGACACAGCAGGATTAAATTCCCTACAAGTGTATTTAAATTCCACCAGCCAAGAGAAGAGGGGAACCCTCTACATGACAGTTAACATGTTTAGCTTTCAAGTCTAATTGCTGCCAGAATTGCCTGTAGAGAATGTCTGAAAAATAATCTGAGGCAAATTATTGAGGAATAATTGTAGGGAAGGATTAAAAAAAAAATGTCAGAGTTATGCTGTTGTTAAATTGTCACTACCAAATGACTTCTCTAGGTTGTTGCTACTGAGATGAGTAACACCCTGTAGCCATGGATTCTCCTACATACTTTTGTATAGGTTTTCTAGAAAGCTGATAAGCTCACTTCAAAATAGAATGTTTTGGAAGGAGCAGTCAGCAAGCTTTTTTTCCCACATCAAGGAGATACTTCCATAGAAAGTTTCAAGATCATCTTTATAGATAGACTACTAGAGAAAAGGCCGAATTAAGCTTAATCATCAGCCTTAGGGGCTGCAGGGCTAAATTAAACTACAGCAGAAAGAAATGGAGAGGAAAGGCATAAAAGGAAGTGCATCACTCACTGCTGAAATCAAAGTGTTGATATATGAGGAGGGAGAACATAGTATGCACTTCTTACATTTTTAAGAAGAATATGAAAGTTATCAGTATTTTGCCAGCATTCCTGCTTCTGTTGTAAAATACCACTCACAGTGCTGTGAAAGTGGCAAAGGGCTTTTCTTTGATAAGCAGCTCTTGGGCTTATTATTCTCATAACCTTAGTCTGAGAAGGGGGATTTTGTTCTTACTTTATTCAGCATCTTCATTTTGACCCCTCCCCTCCAATTCTGCAAGGACTATAGTCTGTCATTCTGCTGAGAAATTCTGCTGGTTATGGGCTAACACAGTGTCTTGGTTTGAGACAAACTGGGAGGAAACATCCTGAAATGAATATGCCCTCCCAATTATGGCATGATTAATTTCCTGTGAAGTCTCTTAAACAATAATGCATAATAAGGAAGGTAAATCTGGAACAGAAGCGTTCCCAGTCACAGAAGAGTGTGACTGAAAGAGGCTGTAGTCTGGCTATGTGAGGTACTGGTGGTGGTGTTTATGCCTGGAGCTCTGACCTGAGGTTTCAAGAGTTTGCTGAAAATTGTTTATGGTTGATTTAAAGAGTTAGGATTTGGGGTGTGGTCTGTAGTTAAAGAAAAAAAAACTCATATTCATAGTTCCATATGAAAGCTGGTGACAACTGCTCAACAGATAAGTTAGCTAGACTGATTACCATTGCGTGGTTATTTCTAGATAAGGTAAGAATGCAAAACTGGGAGGGAAGCTGAGGAATGAACATGATTTTACTCAGAGATATGACTTAAAGGTAGAATAAGACATGATTGGAATATTAACAGGCCATAGCTAGTTAGAAATTTTGGAAATTTAGGAAAAGAGGTGTCACAGATACTGAGAGAAAGGTTGAAATACATCTGCCAAAATGCATTTCTGAACGAAATGACTTTCAGAAGGGAAACACAGACTATCCAGCATGAAGGCAAGTGGAGAACATAGGAGGTGAGTGATCTAGAAGATTTTATTCTCTCATGTGAAGGAAGCTATTCGCTTCCAAAGACTAAGAATACAAAGGATGGATGGATGGATGGAGGCAGAAAATTTAGGGTCAGAGTAGCCATCTAGCAATAGCTAGAGGCTTAACTGGAAGACAGATGTACTGTTTAGGTCATTCTCTCTTGTGAGGAGAGATGGTTTACTATCTGGGCTCTGGGAGTGATCTTGAACTCTACATTTATTGGTCATGAATACATGACATTTTTGTCTCTACAGGAAAAAGGGCTGTGAAGAAGGATGGTGTCAATGATGGTGAAGCCAATGAATATGACCTCAATGACCACTTTATAGATGAGGAGGAGGAGGAGGAGGAGTGCGAACCTACTGATGAAGACTCAGACTGGGAACCAAGTTCAGAAGAAAAGGATAATGAAGATGTTGACACACTTGTGCAAGAAACATGTAGATTTGTTAGGATCAAGAAATAGCTGCTGAGAACAGCCTTATAAATGTCCAGTGCGGTTATGTTAAAACATGGTTGCACAGAGGAGAGGAAGTGGTTTGAAAATTTTTGTCTCCATGATGTAGGCAGTACAGGAAGATAATAATAGGGGTGAGGGGATTCTGCAATGCCTTTCTTATCCGTATGTATTATTTTGAGGATAGTGTGGTGTTTGGTTTTTTGTTTTATTAAGTTGTGGACCCAGAGGATAGAGCTCTTAAATTTTTGGTTTTTTCTTTTTTCTCTCCTTTTTTTTTTTTTTTTTTGCAATGCCATTGGTATCTTGTATTTTGAAATACAGTTTTAAAGGTTGTTAAAACTTCATCTTCCTGTGCTTGAAAGAAATATTGGTAGGAAAGCCTAAGCCATTTTTACTGTTGAGTTAGTGCAGTTTTAAACTTTGTTATTCTGCCTCCATCTTTTCCAGATGTTGTTTTGTTGATTCTCTTAAGGTACAGTAGTTAAATACAGGTTGTCTAAATCACTTGAGAGCAGGATCTCAGTGTATTGAAGCATTTGACTGGCTCAACAACAAGTATTATTTGCTCTGATTATGACAGTACCTCTTTCCATGTTCATCACTGGAACTGTTTCTAGTTCTCAGCAAAGTCTTGATGACTGTATTTTTGCACAGTTAAACTTGTAACATACAGTGGGAAAAGCATGTAACTGTTTCTCTGATTTCTAAAGACGTTGGAAGATCTTGCCTTCAGTGTGTTCATCACTCCCCTGAGCTTCCTGGAAAGCAAGTTAAAAGGTTTTGCTATATTTTGGGACAGATGACTGGAGCCCTGTGAATTTGGCACCTTTTTTCGTCAAAGTCCTGAAGTTCAGCAAGAGAAGCATTCTAGTATAGCTTCAAGTAGGCATCCACATACACACCAGCTGGTTTTACGGGACTTTTCAGGAGGACTTTGTGGATGTGCCCTCTACAACTCTAATGCCCTGGTTTTTGACTGAGCTTGTGTGTTTGTCTTTTGTGAAGAGGCTCCTCTTACAGGAAAAACTGCCAAGGGGGAATCAAACCAAGCATTGCCCAGGCCTTGCCACTGCTGTGTTGAGCTGTGTGCAGACTCAGCTCTCAGCAGCCCTCAGATCTCCTGCTCCCGTCACACTGGGGCTGTCTTGGGCAGGGAAATTGCCCTGTGAAGGAAGCTGCTGGCCTCAGGGGAAGCTGCCCTAATGGCCAGGAGACAGGAGAGCACAGACTTTGCTTGAGCTGGGCTGTGTCACAGAGGAACTGTCTCAGTCCTGCCCAGAAGGCACCTCTATAAGCAGGTGCATGCAGCTGCCACAGGCTGGAGCAGCGCTCTCTGGAGAAGAGGAGGAGGGGGAGCCAGCCTTATGTTGAGGTGTTGGCAGAGGGAGAAGCCACTTTCCTCTGGGGCACAGGAGAGGTGTGCTCCAGGCTATGGGATGCAAGATGGGGCTGTGCAGCCTCAAGTGCCAGCAGTTCAGAGGTTGGGCACTGGGGATGGACCTTGTGAACCTCAGCTGCTGCCCATTTCTACCTCAAAAAACCTCATTATACACACCCCCTTGGCACTTGGAAACTTTCATTCTTGGAGGGTCATCTTGGTCCTTACAGGTTCTGCTGAAAGGGGAAGCATTCTTTTTGACAGATTTCTCAGATAAAAATAAAGTACCGATGTGGCAATATTATATCTGAGAACTGTTTCTTGGTAAAGAAAGGATATGGACTCAACTAGTGTGGGATAGAAAAGAGAGCAGAGAGGGAGAAAGAGAGACAGAGGAAGAAATAGAAGACAGGGACAGCATCACTGCCAGGACACAGGGGCATCCCGCCATAAGACATAAATTTCTCGTGGATTAATTTTCCTGACACCTCCATTTTTTGCCTCCTTATCACATGGTCCATGTTAAGGTTCCCAGCATGTCTAACAGCCCCTATAGTAATTTTTCACCCTGTGTATAACATATGTTGAGACATAAAAAAAAGTCAAATTGGTTCCTTTCAGGTCCCTTCCCTCTGCCAAAAGGGAGGGCATTCCCACAAGGTGAATTTACTCAGTAGGGTGAAGGGATTCCTGTCTGCCTCTTAGGTACAGTGCCATGTCAGGGCCTTGTGGTGGCACCTGGCATTGGGGAAAAGCTGCCATGGGATTTGTGCTGCTTGTGTGTCTCTTGTTTGTTGGGCACACAGGGAGGGTGAGGTGAGAGAGACCAGAAAAGCACAGATGCTGATCCTGAGTGAAACAGGAGCTCTCCAGGTCATTTGAAGGGGCCACCTTGTATCTTGGCCACAGAGGGCCTAGTGTGAGTTGCAGGTTTCTTCAAAGGCTGAGAAGTGGGTTGTGCATTACAGTGTGTACTGTACCATGTGGTATTTACTGTATTTTTTTGTTAGGAAAATTAATCCACAATGCCAGAGGTTTATATTCTAAAAGGAGACAGAGGAGTCCTTCAACTTTATTCAAATAACGGGAGAGGCCATGGGACATTTCCCATGAGGTCTCTCAAATTGCTGGAGGATGCAGCTTCTCTTTATCCTCATTTCCCTGCTTCATTTTCCTCTTCCCCTTGGCTGAGGTACTTGAGAGATACAGACTTCCTGAATAGCCTAATACAGAACCCCTTCTAATGTGTACCCTCCCACCCCGTTCCCCAGTTTTTCTTTGTATTGCTGTTCTTTTTCTCTAAGTCCCGGAATTTAGCACAATCTTGGATGAGCAACTGAGTCTGTGTCAATTAGGGGGATTCCTTGGAATTTATGGTTCCTTCCATTGTTTCTTTCATCTATCAGTATCTGGCTTTATCTGCAAGCAGACCCACGGTTTGTTCGTAAAGACACATCCCTCTCATTCCTTTCATTATGGTCCTAGATGTGTTGTGTGCTGTCATTCATGTTTATTGTAGTTTACATATTTTGAATGTATTGCAGAGTATGTACTGCATTATATCATGGTTTCTTGTATAGCTATTGTAGCATATGGTACAGTATTGTATTGTATTCTGCTCTGTATGCATTGTAGGGTTTTATTGTCTTGTGCTCATTATACCCTGCAGGAGCCAGTTCTTTGCCACCTCATAGGAGCCTCTTTCCCTTGTCAACCTTCATGGTGCCATTTCTCAGGAGCCCTTTAGCCTGCAGCCCCACAGGAGTCCTTCTCCTTGTCAAGCCTCAGGATCCCTTTGAGCGACATTGAGTGACTTTATGCTCAGTTATCTTTCTTACTATCCATGAGTATTTGGTGACTTTTATACTGGGATTTGTTCCACATTCTTTTGTTCTAGCTGGTTTTACGAAGGTCAGTTTTGAAGCTGCAGGAATTCCTGCCTTGTCAGTGGTTTTGAGGAACAGCTGAGGGAGCTGGGTGTGTTTGGCCTGGAGAAGATGGGACTCAGGGATGACGTTATCAGTCTTTACAACTACCTGAAAGGAGGTTGTAGCCAAGTGGGGGTTAGTCTCTTCTCCCAGGAAACAGGAAAGAGGACATAGTCTTAAGCTGCACCAGGGGAGGTTCTGGTTGGACATTAGGAGGAATTTCCTTCAAAAAAAGGGTTAGACATTAGAATAGAGGTGGTGGAGTCACTGTGTCTGGAGGTGTTTCAGGAAAGACTGGCACTCAGTGCCATGGTCTAGTTGATATGGTGGTGTTTGGCCAAAGGCTGGACTCAAGGATCTCAGAGGTCTTTTCCAACATAATTGGGTTTGTGAGTTAGGGCTTATCCTGGCAATGTGGGTTACAGTGCAGCCAATAGGACAGGATCCTAACAGAGTGTATGAGAGAGCAAGATCTTGGTGAGTCTGAGGGACAAGTGTCGATCTTGCCTCAATTCTGCTTTTTTCTGCTCAATGGTGTGTGCTTTTCTGCACTGGTGGTGCAGAATACTTAGAAAGGGGACAGCCCAAGCATCCAGCGTCTGTCACAGCCAACACAGGGAGAGGGAGAATGCAGACACTACAAGCATTGGATAAGTGCCTGGGTACCCAGCTGTCAAAAGCTGAAGCATCTGTTGCTACTTGTTGAAGTCACAGGAATCCTGGGAATACCTACTTGACACCATTCCCATGGTGTTTGATGTGAGCTGATGCAGTTTGTGGTGACACTGTGCTGCAGAGGCAGCAGCTGGAGGGTGCTGTTGCCACGGCAAGGGCTCAAAGAAGAAGGATCACAGCAAAGTCTTAACTCCTGAATGAGTCAGTCAGTCTCTAGGGAAATTTTCTGTGCTGGCTACTTTGATGTATGCTGGCCTGGGATCTTGCAGGTCATCCCCCTTTTGTAGAGGGACAATTGCTTTAATGACACAGCCTTTGTTTTCTTGGTTCCTGTTGCTGAGAATAACTGCTTTTTCTTCTCCTAATGCTCTCTTTCAGGTCACTGTTTTAGCTTCCAGGTGCACCTGGCTTTATGTTTTTCAGCATGAAGGAGCAGAGACTGCATTTTACTCTCAAGTTATTTCTGGAGAAACTGCTGTAGAAGGAAGTGAGGCTATGGTTTTGGAGCTGTGCTGCAGGAGGACAGCTGAGCAGTGATCTGGTGTGGTAGCACCAGTTTTGCATTTGGCAGCAAAAATTTGAGCTAGCAGAACCGAGACATGTATCTGGTTGATTCACTGCATGGTGATCTAAACGCTGCCAAAGGATCTCAGGTCCCACCCACTCCTCATCCATGACACATGGCACAATTCTTGCCATGTGGAGCCCTTATTGCAGCTGTTCCCCTACAGCTTCCAGTAGGCAGCTTCCAGTAGGCAGGAGTTGTGCTGGAAAGGCACAACTTTCTCCTCTGAGACAGATGCTGCCTTCTTCCCAGCTTGTGCTTGTTTTTCTCTGTTTACAAGCAGAGCTCCAAATAGGTGCAGTCCATATTCAATTCCCTCTCTAAATGTTGTCCTTTAGTAAGTTGTGAGGGTACAAAAAAAGTCATTTTGTTCTTTCCTTCCCTGCACAGCTCACATAAGCCCTAGGGAATGTGGGGTCTGGTCCTCTCTCTCAGACCCTTCCCTGCCTGCTCCCCCCTGCCTGAGGGTGCCACTTGAGTCACAGCCTGTTCCCACTGCCTGCACACTTCAGGAGTATTCGCAATAGTTTTTAAGTCACTTTTGGTCCCCCTGCAAAGCATTGGGCCTCTGCTTGCTGGAGCTCAGTTTGGGAGCAAATACTGTCTCTGCAAGTGCCCTGTTTTGGGCTGTTTGGAGTTGGTGCCAACACAGGCTAAGGGTAATGTGACTGCTTTGTTTTTGG